AGATAGCTCAATAGAATAAGTGCTTGCCTGGCAGGTGCAAGGGCCTGAGTTCAATCCCTGGTTCTGCCAAAAAACAAAAACAAAAACAAAAACAAAAACAAAAACAAAACCCAAAACAAAACAAAGACAATCGCAATTGCCATAATTTGAATGTTGAAACCCCAAAGGATTGAAATCCCTAATGTCTGATCACAGTTCTGAAAGATTAAGATCCCAGATGTTAAAATTGTCAAAGTGGAAATCCTGAAAAACACAGTTCTCCTAGGGAAAAGAAAGTTGTGTAATGGGTGGAAAGCAGATTCTGAGAAAAGGATAAGCGTGTCTTCCGTTGTCTGCAGACTGCTCTATCTTGGTGGGTGGACACACACTTAGGAGTTTAAAGGTGAGGTGGAGACCCATGTAATTGAAGTGGTTGAGCAGAACTGGACCTTCAGGTGGTCAGCGCACACACACACATACTGCACACGCACACACACACACACACACACATGCTGCAACCATTCACCATGTACAGGTGCAGCAAATATTTCAAAGATCATAGAAGATGTAAAAACATGAACAGAAAGCCCAAGCTGTCTCCCCTGCCAGGCCATTCCATTGGTGCCTTGTCTGCCCCACCACATGTGGTGCCACACTTGCCTCCAGAAGATGTTCTTCAGAAGAATAGGAGGGCTGACCAGCTCAGTGCCCTTGGGACCCGGTGCTGTGAGCACACTCAGAGCGGGTTTCTGTGCTCCCAGAGCCACGCCCGCAGTACAGCCGAGTGGGAGGAGGCCTTGTGGGGAGTGCTTGTGGCTGTGTACATCAAATTGAAGGATTTTTATTCTACTTTTTATGTATTTGGTACATTGTCTCACTGCGCAGCTCAGACTTGTAGTGATCCTCCTGTGTTCAGCCTCCCCAGCACTGTGATTCTAGGCATGTGCCACTACACCCAGACTCAGAAGCAGCTCCGTAAGCGCAGGGGCAGGGCTGGCATAGCTGATGGTGCCGGGGATCAAACCCCGGTCCCTGTGCTTGCCAGCAAGTGCTTAGTCCACTGAGCTATCTCACTGACCCTTGATTCACGGATTTATTTTAATTAATCAATTAGTTAATTTGATACTGGAAATCGAACTCAGGAACTTGCACTTGCCAGGTAGGCACTTATGCTGCTGAGCTGTATCCCTGACCTGAAATGAAGGAAACAGCAGCGCATGTAAAAAAGCAGTATGAACCTACTTGCTGCTGAGAGCTGAAAAACGAAAAAGCACCTGTCCTTTGATGTTTCCAAACAGCCAGGGACATGGTGTGGCTGCCAGCTCCGGTGTGGAACTGCTCTGCCATAGCTTACCATGCCTGTACTACCTACTCTTGTATACCGGATTGTTAAATTTTGACAGTTTTTAAAGAAATTTTCTTACAATTTAAAATTGTCAGGTTTTTTTTTTTTTTTTTTTTACTATTTGCTATGCTACATACTTCATCTTTGTCCTTCATATAAAAAGTATAAATTATGCACAGAACTTTAGAGAGTTCCACTTTTTTTAATTCTGTTTTTGCAAGGTTGATGTCACCAGCGTCCATTGTTGCAGTGCTGACCGTGTGTGTAAGCATGGGGCGTGGCATAAGAACCCTGAATCTTCAGTATTATTACATAAAGGAATGTTTTTTTCTGTACACCTGCATTTGGGGAAGAAAAATTCCAGGAGCACTCAGCTCTTTGGACAACTGTCTAGGCAGTGGTGACCTTTTGCGGCATGTGGTTAATCTCAACAAAAGACTGCTGTCTCTATTGTGGTATTTCAGACGAGCCAAGTTACAGAGTAGGGTGTGCATAATTACCCAGCAGTGGTACGTCTTTATGAGTTTCACTTTTTGGCCTGTTCCTCTATGAATGCGGTTTCTCTACTTGTATTATCAGGTGACTGCCCTGAATACCTGTGTGTTTATGCTTGCAAGAATAAACATGTTATCATGACCTGTTTTGTTGGGAAGAGTGGTCCTGTTGCCTTTTATATTTTTCAAGTTCCCCTTAAAGATAGGAATAAGCGTCTTTAAAAATAATTTTAAGTTACTTTTCTAGAATTATGGCATTAGGCGTTTTGAACTTTAGAGATTTTGATCTTTTGGGTGTTAACATTTTGAGATTCTGGAGGTTGGGGTTGTATCTTTCGGGATCATGGTGCAAACCACTTTGCTGGGATCAGGATCTTGGGCCGACTTGCCCTGAGCGTATGGTCCTGTTAGGGCCTGGGCTCCTCTTGGTGGCCCTGCTCTTAAGCTCCTGTCTTTTCCCTGGGCCTCCTTCTCGTACTGTGGGATTTCATCTGGTCAGCTTGGAGGCTTTGTTCCCTCTTGCTGCCATCTTTTATATCGCTGTGCTCTTGGGGAAGGCATTGAATCTCCTCTTTGTCAATAAAGAGGATGAGACCCATTTCCTCCCCTGTGTCACTGATAAACTGGTAAATGATGGTGGGGTGGAGGAGAACAGGCGCTGTCGCACACTCCTGAGACTCCCTCTTCATGGCTGTAGGAGTCAGTGACTACTCCTGGGCAGGGGCATCGATGGCCTTCGAGGTGCATTGCTGGGTTACCCGGCTTTCTGTTTCCACTTGGGAAATGAACTAGTTGTCTCTGTTTTCAGCAATCCGTATTCCCTTAGTGCAGGTGGACCTCCCCGTGTTAGCTGGTTTCTGTACCATATGAGTGTCACTGTGAATTAAACAAAGTGTGAGACCACCTTGCCATGCTTAATTCCAAGTCAAGTGCATATTTGTGCGAAGGGTGCTGTCTGGGCTGTGCATGTGCTTTCTGAGCCAGGCCGTGCCTGCTTGTGATGGACAGGTGGACCTGGCTCTGGCTGGACACCAGCGCTTGGAGCTGACAGGAGTCTGGCGCTTTCTTTTTCCTGTGTCCCACCTGCTTGTCAGCTCTACTGATGGCCGCGTGCTGACCGTGCTTTCCTGTGAACGCAGTCCTCTAAAGTGCCAGCGCCTCACTGACTGTCTCCTACCCGAACGTGAGCATTTGTTCCCCTGCTCCTCCCATCTGGGTGTAGCACCTTCTGTAGCAGGTGCTTTACCACCTAAGAACCTTTGAGTAATTTTTGGACTAATTTGATAGAATTTCTAAGTCTTACCTTAAAAATGTGTGTGGAATATTTTAAAAGAACATTGTAAATGCCTGCATTTGACTGAGTATTACAAAAACTTGTTAAAGAAAACCACTGATGTTAGACCTCCCCAAAATCAGGTACCTAGGATGAAATCAGCCCCGAGCAGTGTGGCTGTGAGATGGTGGAGAATCGCTCTGTGGCCTGCGGCCTGAACACCTCCTGAGGTCTGCCGTGTAGGTGTGTGGATGCCCGAGGTCCTAGGGCTGAGCCATGCCGTGGGCCTGGCAGTGCTGTCTTGCCTAACCTGGGAGAAACTTCCCAAGTTGTGCTCATAGCTTGTGCTGGGCTGGGCCCTTTCTTGGGTGAAACAAACAGTGCCCGCACCAGGCTCTGCGGTGGCAGGATCCGGCCCAGGCCCCACATACCACCACTGCAGCCTGCAGGTGATGAGGTCAATAGCATGGCTGTCTCCTCACTCCCAGGCCCCCAAGGGTCTCAGCATCAAAGGTTTGGATGGGCAGATCGGCTTTTCCAAGCAGACTGGGCTGGGCTCATTGCTGGGCTAGGCAGATGTGGGATGCAGATGCAGATGCAGAGGCTGGCGTCGCCGTGCAGGGAGCTGTGCCTCGTCCTGCCTGTGTGAGCAGCACTAGGGCTAGCCTCTTGGGCTCCCTTCCTCCCTTCTTTTTCTTTTCTTCCCTCCCTCTTTTCCTGCCCTTCTCCCTCCTTCCTTTCTCTTTCTTCTGGCTTCCTGCTTACCTCCTTACCTGCCTCCCTGCCTCTTTCCTTCCATAGTTTGAACCCAAGACCTTTGTGCTGAGCTACTATTTCTCCAGCCCAATTTTATGTATTTATTTATTTTTCATTTATGTATTTGGTACAGGGTCTTACTATGAAGCTCAGACTCATAGTGATCCTCCTATTGTCAGCCTGCCCAGCTCTGGGATTATAGGTGAGCACCACCATGCCCGGACTTGGTTGCCAGTTCAGCACAGGTTGCCAGACGTGGGGCCAGTGTGGCATGCGGGCCCAAGGATTGAATCCTGGTCCCTGAGCTTGCCAAAGCAGGAATTTAGTCTGCTGAGCTATCTTGCCAGCCTCTCAATTTTATTTTGAGACAGGGTCTTACCAAGTTACCTAGACTGGGCTTGGTACCTAGACTTGCTATCTCCTGACTCAGCCTCACAGAGTACTTGATGTATAGGTGTGCAGCACTATACCTGGTTCTTCTGTGTTTTTTTTGCCTAGGGGGTTTTCATGACTATGGGTGATCTCAGATTCCAGGAGACCTGGAAGACCTCTCCTTGACATGCATAGTTCTTTGCCATGTAAAATATTAAGTGAGGACTGGGGAGATAGCTTGGCAGTCTAAGCACCTGCCTGGCCAGCACAAGGACCTGGGTTTGATCCTTGGTACCTCATGCAGTGCTGGCTTCAAGACCTGGTGTGGTGGCATTTGCCTGTAATCCCAGTGTTGGGGAGGCTGAGGCAGGAAGATCACTATGAGTCTGAGGTGTGTAGCAAGACCCTATACCAAAAAATAAATACAAGATTAAAAATACTTTAAAAATCAGTTAAATTCACTTCCTAATTTTTAGTACAACTTGTCACCGTCTGTTAGTGTAGTGACATGTAAGTAGATGCAGAGCTATTTTCTTTCCTTTTAATGGACACACAAAAGCAGCGCACCCAAAGCAGCATTGCCTGGTTCTTGTTTTGTTGGCTTCTGATAGAGCTGCTGAGGACGGAGCCCATCTGCGAGCTGCCTTCCTATCCTGCCCTTGCCTCTGTGAATGCCAGCCGGTGGGGCGTGGCTGTGCCTCTCTGAACTGATCCATTTCCTGTGTCTTATTCTGTTCCATTGAGAAATGGTAACTTCGCCTCTTACGTTCTCATCCTCTAGGGGGACAGCCGAGGCGCTGCTGCTCTTCTGAAGAGGTAGCATCGACTGTGCTTTCCAACGGGGACCAGAGTCACAAACTTGGAAATAACCCGCCCGGAAAAGACACCAGCGAGTCCAAGGTGGGAATTCCAACTTCTGTGTCCATACTTGAAAACAGTAGCAGAGAGACTTCCAAACGTTCCGAACAGCATAGATTTTCTCTTGACTTAAAGATGCCAGCATTTCACCCCAAGCAGGAGATGCCCAGCGCTAGTGATGGTGTGGACTTCCCTTCAAGTACAGAGGGCGCTGACCTACAGCTCATGTTGGAGAACCAGGCTGGTTATCCTAAAGACAAGCTGTCTGATTTGCACAATAAGGAGCATCCTGGGGGAGGAAAAAGTACACCAGCCCAAGACCTGGTCCCTCTCGATTTAAGTGGAAGGTCCACCCGGGATGACTCCAGCAATAAGGAAGTGGCCTCCTCTCTGCAAGCTGCGCTGGTCATTCACCCGTGTCCTTACTGTAACCACAAGACCTATTACCCAGAGGTCTTATGGATGCACAAGCGCATCTGGCACAGGGTCAGCTGCAGCTCCATGGCCCCCCAGTGGACGCAGCCCAACGGTTACAAGAGTGTAAGGAGCAACTTGGTGTATCTTGCGCGGAGTGGAAGAACAGGACCTCCACCCGCCCTCGGGGGCAAAGAGTGCCAGCCCCTGCTCCTTGCTCGCTTCACCCGCACTCAAGTGCCAGGTGGGGCACCTGGACCCAAAGGCAGTCCGCTGGGAGTGACTGCGAAAGTGGCTAGCATGCCTAAGAATAAGGAGAGCCATTCCGCGGGCCCCTGTGCACTGTGGGCAGCTGGTCCTGATGGGTATCGACAGACCAAGTCCAGCCAAGGCCAGGAGCCCTCCATTGCTTCGATGCAGGGGTCCTTGGCCAAACCCAAACTGGAGGCCAGCTCCAAGCCAGCACCTGCTCTGGGCAGTGGAGGCCTTGGCAGGAGTGCCACCCCCACGCCCTCTGTCATAACCCGGGTGGGTTCTCAGCCCTTGGCCAGCAACAAGCCAGTGGAGAATTTTGGGGTCCCGTCGGTAGGGCCTGGCTTTGCCCCTCCAAATAAGCACAGTGCCCCAGACTCCCTGAAAGCCAAATTCAGCCCTCAGCCTCAGGGTCAGCCTACTGCAAAAGGTGAAGGGAGCCCTCCTCTACCTCCCCGTGAGCCCTCCTCGAAGGTAGCCCAGGAGCTGAGGACACTGGCCACCTGTGCTACGGGGTCCAGAGGTGATGCAGCCCTGCAGGCCCAGCCTGGGATGGCTGGCACCCCTGTCTTACACTCCATCAAGCAGGAGCCAGTGGCCGAGGGCCACGAGAAGCGCTTGGACATCCTTAACATCTTTAAGACATACATTCCAAAGGACTTTGCTACACTGTACCAGGGCTGGGGTGTCAGCAGTCCCGGGCCAGAGCACAGAGGTAAGATGTGTGGGCTTCCTCCTCCCCGGCTACTCAGGAGCTCCCTAGGAAGGGCAGAGGTGCCCACCTGCCTGCCAGGAACCCTGAGGGCAGTCCAGGACCTTCCATCTCACAGCATCTATGCTGTCTTCCTTTGCCCTGGCTGCCAGGAGCTTGGTCCTGAAATGCTGCCCTGTGAGGGCTGTGTGCTTGGGTGAGTGGTGTCTGAATACGTGTCCTTGCTGATGGTAACTGGGAAACCCAGTGACATTTCTTCCACACTGAAAATTGAGGGGATAGGCAGGCTTGGCTACATCTTCATGTTTTGTTTTTTTTTTTAATTTTAAAAGCTTTGGTAGATGTTCATTGTCCTTGCTTCTCAAAAAAGACGAGTGTCCACTTGAAGGGATTCTCTTCTTATGCATAAATGACTGAAAATATACTGAGATATGCTGCAGTGTTAGTTAGCCAAGCCTTGCAGAGGATGCAGGTATCCTGAGAATTCAGAAGGACTGAGTGATGCTGACATTTCTGAAAAGATCCGCACAGTGGTTTCCATTCCTCCTGGGCTCCTGTATTGATAATTAATAGTAATGCTGGTTGGGTTTCTTATCTAACCTACTTGGAACCAGGAGTTTGGGGTTTGGAATCCTTTGGATTTTGCAGTGTTTTCTTACATAATGAGATATCTTGAGGATGAGACCTACGTCTGAAATTAGAATTGTTACGCTTCGTAGTCCCATTGCTGGAAGATTATACAGGGATTTTAATAAGTTTGTGCGTGAAGCGAAGTCTGCATTGATCCATCAGATGTCTGGGGTGCAATAGGCTACTTGTAATGTCATCTAAGAACTCGAACATTTTTCAGTTTTGGTGGGTTTGGGTTTTGGATTTGTAGATCCAGGATGAATGAGGCATTGCCAGTTGTTTCCCTCTTGCTTCATTGGGTAATGCCTTGGGTGTGACACCCTTGTTCCTTGAATATACAAAACATTGGGAAGTATAGGTCCTGCGAAAAAAATGGGATAGGTGAACCCCACTGTGGGGCTCAGTCTCTTAGTTTGTTACCTGGGGGGTAGTCCGAACCCTTCCATGAACAGAGTATCTGCCGTGACCCTGTAGTTGCAGAGTAGGTCACTGTTGAAGTCGCCTGGGGGACTCAAGGCCTCAGACTCTGGAAGCAGGAAGCTCTGTTGGGGCATGTGGTCCAGGCCTAGGGGATCTGATGCTGGCACAGGGCTCCCCTGGGCCCCAGCTCATGGCATGCTGCTGCCCAGTGGCCAGAGGGGGTTCCAGCTAGATCCTCAGGCATGCAGCAGCCAGCAAGGAGTGAAGTAGTCCCTTGGGTCTGGGTCTGGGTCCCAGGAGGCTCAGCTGAAGGTGCCTTCCAGTGGAGGATGCCAAGGCCCCCTCCACTCTGCAGTGAAGGCCTGAGAGCTGTCCTCTCTGCCTGGCTTTTTGTTCTTTACAGTACTGGAGTATTGAACCCAGGGGCGCTCTACTACTGACACACACCCCAGCCCTTTTCTTATGTGCAGTTTTATTTTCAGATGTATTCTCACCCGGCTGCCCAGGTGGCACTAGAACTTTGCTTCTAGTTCCTGGGGACAGGCATGCTCCCAGCCCCTGTGCCTGTACCAAGGTACTGTGTGTGCCTGAGAACTCTCAACAAAGCACAGGCTGAATGTGCAGAAGGTGCCGAGCTGCTGCAGGAGTGGCCCTGGACCCGGTGTCAGGCCCTGAGCTCCTCTCAGGAGTGTGCTGTGTGTGCGCGTCCTCTGCAGCTCCCCATGGGCAGGCAGAAGGTAGCGGCTGTGTGGCTGTTCACACTTCTCCCGTTTCAGTTCTGCTATCCTCAGGCTCTGCAGTGTTTTGCAGTCCTGCAAGATGTTGCTATCAAGGGCATTGCCTGTGTGTGCAGTTTGGGTGTGGGAGCCACCTCAGATCTTCAGGTTCGAGTTTCCCAAGGACGTGGCAGAGATGGCTGTGGTGGGCCCTGCTTCTTGGCAGCCCCTCACCCTCTTGTCTTGCTCTTCCTGACGTGTGCGGGATGTTGGTGCTGGATCTCAGGGGCTGTCACAATGTGAGCTGCCTTTTTATTTCATTATGTACCTGGTCCTGGCCTCCATGCAGTGTGCCAATTTGCCCTTGTACAAGAGGTTGAGGAGGCTGCATGGGGAAAGGCCCTGCACTGCCCAGAGAGCCTGGGTCGTAACTACTGCTTTTGGAAGAAAGTAGAATCGAGCTTTGTGCTTTGAGAATCTCCGATGTCAGAATTTCAAATGCGAAAATAGACTGAAATATTTTATTTCCTTTTCCTTAAATTTTTTTAAAAAATAGATGGTTCTAAGGATGTGAGGACAGAGATCAAATATTTGTATTTTAAATGTTAAAAATATTCATAGTCTCTAAAGCAAATGTTATCTTCTCAGATTGTTTATTCTAATGTCCACATTGAAACACAATTGTGTGTAAGTCAGTCAGTATATAGTCTCCAAATTCCATCTGCTTGGGTGTTTCAGGCTTTTTAAAAATTTTTTCCATAATTTTATTGAGAAACAAATAGCAATGACACAGTTTCAAACCAAATTGGTAGGATAGTTTCAATAATTAACACATTGCATACATTCTTCCTAGTGGTTAATCGCTGTACAAGATGCGGACATGATATCCTATTTATAAACACCATTAGAACAAATCCCTCTATTCATTAAGAGAACATAACTATATATCTATCCTAACCACTTTGAATACACAGATGCAAAATGGACATTCATCTGTATCCCCTTTTTTTTGTTAAGTTCCATCATTTAAATATTACAGGTGTGTAAACTCAGCAAAATATTCTAAAAGAGTCCAGTAGCCCATAATAGTATTGGGTGTTCTGTTTCACTGGCAATGTCAGAAATTGTTGACCTGAGTCCCCTCAGCTCAACATAACAGCATGGCTTTACTTCTTATACTTTGTTTTTATACTTTTCTGCTGGATTGTTAAGACCAAGGTAAAGCAGGACCTATGCAACAAGAGTTGTAGCTTTTGGGTCTGAGAAGGTCAGTGAAATCCCCTCAGGATTTATCTGTTTCAGGCTTTTTGATCTTAAAATATACTACTACGTTATTTTTAGGATCCTCGCTCCCAGGCTTAGAAAGCAACTTGGGAGTATGTAGGCCGCTGACCAGTGTGCTGAGAAGCACCGGCTGGTTTCAGATAAAAGGCCCAAGTGGGGAAAGACCACCATCCGTGGCATTGGTGCCGGTGGACTTGTGCTGCTTTCCCCGGGCAGCTCACAGTGAGCTGAAAGAATGTCTCTGGCAGTCTCTGCATTGGGAGTCCTTTCCTGCATCAGGGCCTGGCCTTTCATTTCTCTGTGCTCAAGTGTTAATTCGCAGTTTTTGCAGTGCTTCAGCAGAAAGGAAGCCCAGTGGACTTAGCGTGGTTTGACCACTTGGGAGGTGAGCGAATGTTGATACTTTCCTATTAGAGGGAAGCTACAACTGTCACATGTCTTCAGAAATATGTGCAGCCGAAGCAAATGCATCTGGACAGGTTCCTGAGTGTGGTAGGAGCTAAACTTCTTCTTCTTTTTTTTTTTTTTTGTGGAACTGGGGATTGAACTCAGGCCCTTGCGCTTGCCAGGGAAGCACTTATTCCACTGAGCCATCTCCCCGGTGCAGGAGCTAAACTTCTGAGATTTTGTTTTTCACTTGCTTCTGTTGGGCATTCTTCTTTGCTATGTGCAGCTTTTTTGTATGCATCTTGATTTGTATTTTGTTCATCCTTTGTCATGTGACTCTTTTGCTTTACGATTCAAGCGAGGAACACATTATGGATCTTTGTCCCATCACCAGATGCATTTGTAGTGTGTCTCCTAGCTGCAGAGTTCTTTTAAGAACTTAGGAGTTCTTTTAAGAGAAAGACTTACTGCATTTTGTGTACTCTTTCCACAGATGTGAATATAACATCAGTGGATTATTGACACAGCAGTACTAAAATAATAAGTTGCCTGTATCTCTAGACTTTGTGGTCTGTCTGTATTAGATGACAGAGTCCGGGCGTGGTGTCACACGCCTGTAATCCCAGTGCTGGGGAGGCTGAGAACAGGAGGATCGCTACAAGTCCAAGCTGCCTAATGAGACTCTGTGCCAAATACATAAATGAAATAAAGTGAACTGGATTCTTTTATATTAGATGATAATGTGGGTTTTAGAATAAAGTATTTAAGATAATGAGATGAAGTAGCTGTAAAGTAATACATAAAGTCTTTCTGATTGGAATTTTCAGAAAGTCGTTTATTTATATCAAGGGTGCTTGATGTGGCCATGAAGAAGGTATGTGGTTGTCTGAGCAATTGCATTTCTTTGGAGAATTTTTCTAATCTCTTTCCCCTTACTGATGACATGATACATACAGTATGATAAAACAGAGCACTTTAAGGCCACTTATGCCTCTCTGAGAATGGCCAGGTCTTTTTCTTTCATCTTAAGGTCTCTTGTCTATCCTTTTTGTTTCTAGGTTAATGCGTTTGAGCTATTTGCACACCAGGTAGTTGTCCATTCAAATTAAGTTTATAACCTTTTGATTACCTCAGAATTTTGGAGGAGCATGGGCATGAAATTATTGACCATAAAGGGCAAGTGGACTTTGTTTAAAAGTAAAGAGAAAGTGATATGGTAAGATACATGGAAATGCTGTGTGTGTGTGTGTGTGTGTGTGTGTGTGTGTGTGTACCCATATATATACTAAAATATGAGCAGAAGAGTGGAGATACTGTGATTTCTTTCTGTTGCTACTTTGGATTGGAAATAGTCAACTAAAATAGTACTTATTAAAAGAATGTTAATGACTTACTTGTTAGAGGTAGTGACTGTGGGTGCAAATAACATTGTTCCCCATCAGTAGATATCTTAGGTGGGCAGACTTGGAATCTACTGTGCAGATCGTACCTAGGAAAACCCAGACAGCTAGAGTCATTGTCAGATAATGAAACTGGAGAACACAGTCACTTTGAAGTTGGAATTTTCGTACCTCAAAGTAAGAGAAGGGGGGCTTTGCTGGATAGCTCAGTTGTTTAAAGCGCCGCTTGAGTAAATGCAGGCAGATGCATAGGACCAAGGTTCGATTCCCAGCTCCAGAAGCTGTACCAGACCTGCCCTTAAGGCTGCCTGAAGTAGCCCAAAACAAACAAATAAAAAAACCCTCCTTCTCAAAGTAAGAGAAAAGAAAGCTTTTCCATTCAGGAAGGGTAAATGTCACCTGTCTGACAGAGGCTGACCACAGCAAAGTTTTTCTGCAGTGTAGAGACCGAGTCCTGACTGAGCACCCTTATTCTAGCAGTGGGCATGGCTGCTCAGGGGGTCCAGCGAAGCTCCCCACACTTTTTCTTTCTTCTGTGATGCTTGGTTAAGTGATAGCTCTGTGTGCAGTTTGCCTGTGAACTGCTTCCCCGGTGTGCATGTATTTTTCTCTCCTTCTTTGGGCTGTCTCACCACCTTGTTGTATCTGGTTATCTCGCTTTCTGCTTTGATTACAGTCCCATGTGTCTGTATTGGACTTTATTGCCTGTGCTTGTGGGGACATATTTAAACTCCTAGAAGGAGGATCTGTGATGTAGCAGCCTTCACATCGTTCAGGACACCTGAGGTCATTCCCATGGGTTATCTTCACATCTTGTGAATGGAGCATCTGTTAACACGTGCCAATGTTTTTTCAATGATAGAACAAGCATTAAAATTTTTGTTACTATTTTCTGTAAGGGTGTGTGTGTGTGTGTGTGTGTGTGTGTGTGTGTGTTTGAGTAAGGCAATGGAATACACGTGCTTAGTGCACAAATTCTCAGATTTCGCTAAGACTTATTTTCATGATCTATCAAATAAGAATTTGACAACATCTGCCTTATAGTCCATACATTTGTTTGATTTCTGTAAACATGATCTATAACATAAAGTGATTTTCTGTATTTTTTATATGTTAAACCTACTGGTTTAGGGGAAAAAAAGGAATAGTGAAGATTTGCTTTTTACCCAGTTTGACTAAAGCGTCCTTTTGTCATTCGTTGCATTTGCCTTTTATATTTAAATGTCAGCAGAGACAGCTAAAGGAAACAGTTTTTTTTTTTTTTTTTAAAGTTATTGCTACAGGCATCACATGTTCTACATAATATTTGTGCTTGCTTTCCTGCCCGCTGAGCTGAGTTATCGTTGAGCATGCCGGTGACAATGGACCCAGGGACTTTCCTTTGAAGCTACCATGCCACAGAAAATGATCCACTTGTTTTCTTAGGGAGATGGCCTGGAGACAGGCAGTGTGCAGACAAGGAGCAGACACGTCTGTATTCCTTCTGCAAAAGCCCAGTCTGTGCTCAGGAATCAGAAGGAACCTGGGAGCTCGTGGCTTAAATGCGGTGTGGTTGCGTGCTCTTGAGCAGAGATGCTTTTGCTGTTCCCCACCCTTTCCAGTGGTCTGGTGTGTGGTGGCCAGGTCACCGAGCCCCAGGTTTCCTCTGTGCTGGAGGCAGGCAGGTGGGAGGCCCAAATGGTCCCAGTCTTGCTGATGGCTGTGCTTGCCCTGCATCAGTCTCTTGGGATCACAGCTGGGGCACGAGTGGGCTCTGGCCCTGGTCACTTCCTGTTATCCACATACCTTGTCTCTGTCACACCTCCGTCCCTCTGATGTGCCTGAAATGCTGCTGGACGGAGCTTGCGTGATGGCTTGGCTGTGCATCCAGCTGCCTGGAGCTGCGTGCTGCCTCGCAGCAGTGGCATGTCCCTGTCTCTGTCTTGTCCCTGGAGCAGGTCTTAATTCACTCTAATTTATGCACCCTCACAGACCTGCCATGCCTGGGCCTGTCAGCTGAGCCAAGACAATGGCTGACAGTTGTCACTAGGCCTTAGAGGTGGCCTTCTATGCTGATATGTAAGGTATACTAATGATGTTTTCCTCTTCCCCTCCCCTGCCTTTCCACTCCTCACTGCCACCCCAATCCTACCATGGCCACGCCACACCACGCCATGGCAGGGACACTCCGGACACAGGCCCGCCCAGGAGACTTCGTCTGCGTGGAGTGTGGGAAGAGCTTCCACCAGCCCAGCCACCTCAGGGCCCACATGCGAGTGCACACAGGTATCGCCACCCGGGGGCACATGTGGCCCAGCCAAGTGGAGGCTGGGGGGAGGGGAGGCTTTTCTGCCAGTCATTAAATTGTCCACCTTGTGGGCTTATGTAGAACGTAAGTTTCATCTCTTGTCTGCTGACAGTGCCTTCAGTCTCTGAATTTTGTCCCGTGGTCCCCTGCTCAACACCTGAAATTTTCTTTTTGGCATCCAACTGCCATGTGGTTTAATTTGCGATAAGCTTGTTTGCAAATGTTCCATTTTAATTAGAGTAGACTCTTCAGAAATGAATATGCTAATGGATTCTATTGCCATGAGCACAAATGGAAATCAGAGCACCCTTCCAGCCTGACGTATGGCTCTGTTTCGTCCTGATGGACAGGACGGAACTGTAGAGACACAGACAACTCTTGGTGGTCAGTGGTGTCTTGCAGAACCCTCAGCCCTCTGTAACGAGCTGGCTGGAGACCGGAGCGGGCTGCACTCTGTGTGTCAAGATAGGGCAGGATCACTAGAGAGACAGGAGACAGGCGCTCTTCATCAGAAGTGTGAAGGGCGCACCAGGAGCCAGCCTGATGCAAAATGACACGGGCCAAATGGTAAGTAATGCAGGAAGAGGGCCCCTCTACACACACGCTGATAATTAGTGTTGTCAGTGATTGCTTCTTCAGCAGTGGAGTCGGAATTAAAAAGGGCAGTGGCCCCAGGCTGCCATTATCCCGGTCTCTTACTGTAAGTGTTACAGTAAATTGGTATTTTCTGGCCACGGGCGAGGCATTGGTGTCTGTTTTGTGTAAGCGCTTAATCTGCAGTGAACTCATGTAGCATGCACACTCAGGAATGTTGCCTGTCCTCTGCTAACAGCCCCCTTGTTCCCACAGTGGTGTTTGAGTGTGATGGTCCTCGAGGTTCCGAAGTTCACACAGCCTCCGCGGATGCCCCCAAACAAGTAGGTCCTGTGAGTGCTTCACTGTCTGGGTTTCAGTGTGGTGGCTGGAAAGAGTGGCATTCCTCACCAAGCACCAGATGCGTCTTTCCTAGAGGTGTACAGAGTAATTCTGCATGGTCTTGGTACACAACCTGCTCTCTCGGGGCAGTCTAGGTCCTTGGTACGCATTGAAGGCTGTCCTAGTGGAGTTACAAGGTTAGGGGCACAGGACTGGCTTTGGGCGGTGTTGGGACAGGGGCTTGGTAGAGAGCAGCGTAACTGAAAGCACTTGAAATTTTCATACTGTCTTCCCAGGCTGTTTTGGGTCTAAGTTTGCCTGAGAGTAAATTCTTTCTGGACAACATTATTTTTGTATTTTTCCCTGAGAAATGTTTCATGTTCAGGGTGGTGTCTCGTGGCTGTGTGCTTCACCTTGCCGTGGTTGGGCACTGTTGGCATGACCTCGTGCAGTAAAACACCCACGTGGACGGGTTCTGTGTGGGTCTGCTTCCTGGTCCGTGCATGATGTGCATTGCGGTAGGTTTGTGGATTTCATACCTAAACCATTCGGGGTGCCCAGAATTGGGCAGAGCCCTGAGTCACATGCAAGTTTCTCTGAGGTGGCACCGCAGGCCCTTGGGCGTTGCCTCCCTGTTCTCCTGGGTCAAGAGCACGACCTTGGTGCTCGTCCCCCTTCTCGTCCCTCCTGCAGTCTTGTTTTCCTGCGCACGTTCTCTTCACAGCATTCTAGCTCTTGTGCTGTTGCTCTAGAGCAGTCCGTAACAGTTCTCTCTTTCACCCAGAGCAGGGTCCCAAGTCCTGCCTCGGCCTGCAGCCAGGTTAGTATGCCCAGTCCTGACCAGCCCCAGGACTGTCTGATAGTGGTGGCAGTGCACGAGTGAGACCCCAGGGACACTTGAGCATTGTTCTGGTTTTTTTCAGTTGAGGAAAAGGTGAGAGGCGTGGATGAGCTTTGCCTGGCGCTGGGTGCACAGCTGATGTTACCTTATCGGAAACTATCTGTTTCTCTCGTTCCACTTGCAGGATTTCTATTTGTTGTCATGCGGAGAGAATTTCTAATTGTTTTTCAAGGCCTTCACTTCACATATCGTTGGCAAGATGTCTTGCCATTTATGACAGGGCTTTTGTCCTCCAGTCCTGGGAAGTAAACTGAGGGATTTCACAGTGGCTTCATCTCCAGCCTTTATTTTCTTTTATTTTGAGATGGGATCTCCCAGAGTGCTGGAACTAGGGGTGTGTACCATCATGCCAGTTTTTTTTTTCTTCTTTTTTTTTTTTTTTTTGCTTCTCCTTCAGTAAAATCCATAGTTTTGATATGTAAAGGAGTTAGGCCATGATGCTGTGATAATTTATGAAGTAAATACAACTCCTCACTGAATAATGAATTGAAAGATCTCCAAACACAATGCCCTTATCTTAAATTAGCTATCACTATCTTAAACACCAGTGAAACCTTCTTGACCACAAAAAAGCCCCTGGAACATGTGGAGAATTACAATACTAAAGTGAATACAAAGTGTTCTGTCACACAGTCGACCACTAAACCCACCAAAACCTGCCTCACCCCCCCATACTGGCCACTGAACTCAGGGGCTTGCATTTAGCAGGCAAGTGCTGTACCACTGAGCTCTACCCTCAGCCCCATACCTGGCTTTGTTTTTTTTTTTTTTTTTTTTTTTTTTTTTTAATATTTATTTATTTGTGCGTGTGTGTGTGGGGGGCATCTCAGCCCACCAGGGGGCGTTCTGGCTGGCATGTGGTGCTGGGGGATTGAACCGCGGTCCCTGTGCTTTTTGCTAAGCTTTTTCTAAGTAGGTGCTTTAGACCACTGAGCCATCTCACCAGCCCCCATACCTGGCTTTGGATAAGCATGTGTGACAGAGCTGGAAAGCACCAGGCAGATTTGTGACTAGCAGACTCTTTGGAAGCACAGGATTGTGGATCGGCTGAATATTAATTCTACCTGAACCTCTTCAAATGCATCCATCATGGCGAGAAATAGAGATCAAAACTACGAATCATTGAGATCATAGTTTAAATTGTGTTATAGTTATGCTGGTAAATTATACTTGTTACTCATACTTGCTTCTAAGGAAAATGTGTTTGTACAATGTCTTTGACAATGACAAACTCATGTGCTGCTTTGCTATCATTATTAACTAACCTCCTGGTATTAAGTTTGTGTGACTCAGTGCTGTGGTGCTGGTTAACATAGCTCCTGCTGGGACACACACTTGAGCTCTGGCCAGGAGCGCAGCAGGTTAGCCTTCCTTGCACTCGGTCTATGGTGGGCATTCAGGCCACTGTTAAACCTAGACTTCATGAAGACAGCCATCTCCCACAGCTTCTGTAATTGTTTTAGTTGCTCATGGCAGTCTTGTTCTTTCATGGCATCTTTTGTTCTTCATAACCTTGAAAGTAACTTGTTATTGTGGGTCTTTAAGGAAATTCCATTTTCCTTATCATTCTTTAAGAATTTCCACAGAGATGTGTTGATCAGAAAAATTGAAAAACACATCAATAATAAGCAGCAATTTAAATCTTAGGGTTCTCCTTTCTAACCCCATGGTTCTCATTATTTACAAACAACAACAACAACAAACAAGCCACAATTGAATTAATAAATTGAGGCTATATTACAGATTTCTAGAACTATTTCCTGTGAGTTATTTAAGTCTAGAGTGTTGCTCATTATGTTCACCATCCATGTTTTTAATGTTTAGAAAGCCTTAGTAACATTAATTAATTAATATTTAAATGAAATTCTTTTTCTGCCAGCTTTAGAAGCCGTGATGTGGGCTTTCTTCTGCATCATACAATACTATTCATGCAGAAATTATTTGATGTGACACTTAAGTTGATGAACTTTTATACATTCATGTAAGAGGCTAAATTATTTAAATGAAATAATATTTGAAAATTTAGTTTTATAATTATCATTTTTAATTATTCAGTTATTGACAATATTTATTGGATGCTCACTGTGACTCAGGCCCTGTGCAGGATATGGGGAGACGTGACATGTGTTTTCCCAGCTCCTCTGGTTCTGCAGGTCATGGAGGTGCATTAGAGGGGGAAGTGGGTGTAGCGCTCTGATGCCATGCCACACCAGGCAAGATTGGATTTGTGGAGGCTCCAGGCGGATGGCTGGAGGCCTGGAGGTGCTGGGGGAGGGCAGGAGGAGAATGGGAGTATTGGAGAGGTGCTTGGGGGGGATGAAGTGTTGGAATTGGAAATAGAATATAGGTTAGAGAGGGAGGTTTCCTGGCTCTGGGTTCTCACTGGAAGCCCCTGGTCCAAGGGGAAGATCCCTCCCCTGAGCCTGAAAGGAGGAGCATGGAAGCCCATTTTCAGGTTAAATGTGGGTTTAGCTTGAGAAGCTGCCTGGGAACCAGCTAGGAACAACCAGTAGGGGGTGATGTATGCACCTGGTGTGGCAAAAGCATCCTGCCAGAGACTTTTTCTCATCAAAAGCTACCAGTGCTGAGTACATTGAGAATCAGCTGACCCTGCCCCTAGAGCGAGTCATGTAAATACTAAGACAGTGGCTCTTGAGTCGGAGGCTCTGGCCTCAGGTTCTCTCTTCAGCAGGCTCCTTGCCCCTGGTTCCTTCACTTGTGCAGTGGTGACACATACTTGGTGTGGGAATTAATCAGAAGATGCAGAAGATGGGACACACGTGAGGCTAAAATTGAGCACTTTCCTGATAATCAGTGGCAAGTCACGTGAAGTGTGACTGTGTGGGCCTTGGTACACTTGTGAGTGGCCTGGCTTTGTTTTGTGTAAGAGACTAGCTGTTAGTTGTAGAGGTAAGACACAGGAAGTCTGTTAGTCTGAGAAGAATATTGCCAACAGTTTTTCTCTTGCCATTCTCTGCTCAGAAGGCCTCTAGTTGGTGGGCAGATAGTTTGGATTTTTATGTATTCAGCTGCCCTGAATATATTCATATATAATATAACAGCTGCCCTGATTTTGCCATATTCGTGTTTAGGTTTTCTATCCTCGGGAATTCTAAGAAATCATACTGTGGCATAAGTTCCAGCGAAATAGTTCAGCAGCTAAGAAGTCCACAAAAGTGCATGACGTCTGTAGTCAGAATAGAGGTTCTTCCTGGTACAAACACGGACTCTGTGTAGGCGTAAGGTACTTTCCTTTGCTGTGTCATGGTAGTGCCTTTCTGAACATTCCTCTGAAGGTCTCTTCGAGTCACAGGTGTGCATGCACAAGACCTCAAGGAACTCCATGAATATGGCAGTCTGGCTGTCCTTTGGGAGCTTGTCCTCGTGGCTGGCCACCAAGGTGGGAAGGTGGCTGCAGTCCATAGTAACAGTCAGGCCAGGAAGCAGCTGCCAGGTGTCACAGTGTCTCTTGTGTAGACATCTTATTCTTTTGCATTTATGACAGAAACAAGCCTAGAAAATGTAAAAGGGTTGAAGCAGCGTCGGTGGGTCAGTGCACACCCTTGGGGCTGAAGCCCTCATTACTGGTGCTGCTGTTTGTTGAAGACACTCCCCGCTACATTTCCCCACTGTTAATTCCAGCTGAGCTCTCAGTGAGAGGAGGTGTTCATTCATACATATGGCTACTTTAAAGATGTCTCCTTTTATGCTGGAGATCGTACCCATGGTCTTCCTGCTGTGCTTGGAACTTGAGATCCTCCTGCCTCAGCTTCACAGAGTGCTGGGATTCCTTACAGGTGTGCAGTACCATGCCCAACTAAGATGCTTTTTCATGTATTGGCACAATTGAGTAAATGTTCATGTTACAGAGATCATGGGCATTCATTGTCAGATAGCAGGCTTTTTGAAAAAAAAAATGTCAAACTGTGGGTGTTGACCTGTGGAAGGAAGTTCAAGTAAAATTTGAGAGGTGTGTTTATTTTTTTATTTTATTTTTATTTTTATTTATTTTTTGGGCAGTACCAGGGATTGAACTCAGGACCTTGTGCTTATTCTACTGAGCTATCTCCCCAGCCCAGGTTTGTTTATCGTTGTGCAGAAATTACTTTATTATTGTTGTTATTGTGAAACATAAGAAATTAAAATAGCTTTTGAACAAGACATCCCCCCCATTTTGGGATTCAAATGACCAGGTTGATTATTGAAATATACAACCTGATATTCTGATTTGTTTGTGTTACTTGCCAAAATTTGAATACTATGATTAATAGTTTATATCTTATTATTCTAAGTGTTATTTTAGAATAAACTGGAGAAATAATTCCATTAATCAAAATAACGAGAAATAAAAAAATAAGTGGCAGCCTAATTTGTCTCATTTTTAGCTATGAATATTATGATATAAATAATGGAGAATCACCTGGCTGGTGTATTTGAATGTATGTGTACTTTTTTGTGTCACTTTTAAATTCTTATACCAGATTTCCAAATGCAGTTCCTTTGTTTAAGCTTTTTAAACCGTAAAACCAAACACACATCTTAGAATGTGGCTATCCAGTTTTAGTACCCTGCCAAATTCATCCCTACAACAACTGGTGATTTACTGGAGCCACCTGGTCCCCCGCACCCCTGCCAACTAGCAGCTCATGGGGTTGGGAAGTCCTGAGCCCCAGCCCTCACACTGGACACACGCCTTCCTTTGCAGGCTGGCCTCTTTCAGAGGGCTGAGGGCTTCTGGGGTGTCCTGGGCATTTGAGGTCTGCTTGTAGGTCTGAGATTGATTCACTTCTAAGACATAGATATGTTTCCTGGCCTTATCACTCAAAATGGGGAAAATTGGCTTCCTAGAGTATTCATGTGAGCTGGGTCTGGTGACACATGCCTGGAGTCCCAGTATACTAGGGAGGCTGAGGTGGGACTGCTATGAGTTTAAGCCCAGTCTGAGCTACACACAGAGACTTGTTCAGAACAGTCAAGGTGTAGAAGTCAATGTCCACTTTGAGAAGGCTCAAGTAGCTTAAGGAAAGACAGTATTTCTTTTAGCATTACTTTTGAAAAGCCCACAGTTTATGACTGCAAAGAAGAAAAGCTCAATTATTAACAGGATTTCTCCCATTTCCTAGCACCTGTTTTCCTTGTTGGAAGGAAGCAAAGTCCCAACTACCACATGCTCAAAGTATTATAGTGGGACTGACCACTTAATCTGGGTTTGCTTTCTTACATATTTCTTTAATTTCTTAAAAATCCTATTGGGCTGCTATATTGAGTAATAAAATAGTGGTCTCAAAGAATTATTTCAAACTATTCAAAAAATGAGACGTGAACATAACTCTTCATTTATAAAGAAAAAACAGGAACTTGTGCATCTGGCTTTATGCACACAGTTTAGCAACTTTTCAAGGTTCGTAGACTTTGTAGCTGTAGAATAAGTATTTTTAAAAGTTTCTAGGCTCTGCAGTTTAAAACCTCTGCCCTTTATAGAGAGAGGGCCATCTTCTGTCACCTCTGGTGTGGCCACTGCCGCTCGACTGTCCTCTTCCTGTGTCTGTGCAAGGCCATGTGTGCAGGTCCAGATGAGGAGGTTGCAGGTGTCTATGTCCTGAGGTTGTGGCCAGTAGGGTCTAGATGTGCACGACACCTGTGTTCTCTTCTTCATGGAGTCATTGCAGATCTGTGTGTTGCATACTGGGGCTTCCAAGCATCGTTCAGCTCCAAACATCCAGCAGCTAACAAACAACAGTGTCCATTTGCTCTGGGTAAGCAGGAAATGCTGCTTTCCTATGTGACCGTGGTGAGCACAAGGTCCCGTGAGCCTTGCTGGTGATGAATACCCCTGTCAGAGTCCCCCAGATCTCTCCCTCGCGGGATGTTGCTGTACAAAAATGTAAAACATCTTTCTCCATCCACTGCAGGAAATTCACCACCTACTTAAGGAAGTTTTATCACATCTCTCATTCGGTTATAGTTTCCTACATTTCAAATACTCTGCAGTCTGCACCACTGCACCCACTGTAAGCCCTCGTAACATTCTGCTGAATATCTTGCTGATTTCTACCTTTCTTGGCTGGTAGGTGCTATGAATGCAGAGCCCACTTTAAGTGGGATTTTGCTAAAACTGTTAGTTAAATAGAAGCCCATGATGTCAGCCACACCCCAACCCCTTATTTCCAGAGTTTCCATAGGCATAGCTAGAAACCAGATTTTTCCATGAATGCTGTAGTTTATGTGCGTACGTTAATTTCAAGTGGTGGGGTTCAGTTCATCAAGACTTTAGCTGACAGTTAATGCAGTTAAGTAAGATTAATCTTGCCGTGTTGATTTTTGTCCTCAGATGGTAAACACCATTGTTCAAAACAGCGACTACAAATGTTACTTGAGAGCACTCTCCAAAAGCTGCAGGCTTGTCTTTATTCTTGTTTTTACCCTATAGTTCACTTGACTGTAGAAGATCCCTTCTGTTTTTACAGCATGGTAATATGTGTGGAAATTGGGGATAGGCCCCCCCTCCCCATGGAGCTACAGAAGAGCTGTACTTCTCAGTGAGTGTGGTCCTAGGTCCAGCTGTGTGTGGGTACTCTTCACTCTATACTGTAGATTTTTGCTTTATTCGTCTTCTCAGCCCATCTTGCCATCTTTTATAAAACCTTTTCTTCAGAGCTGATTCACACACTAGACTGTTGTTCGTGTGTGGGAAACAGTGGGAGAAGTCTAAATGGTCCTTTATGAATCACTGAAAATGATTTTCTAAATATGCCTCTGTGGATGCCAGAAGGGCGGACTTGAAATACTTGATCCTTCTTTCAAATGGCTCCTGCTGAAGCTAGGGGGACTTAGTCTGCTTGGCCATTGGACTTCAGTAAGGTCACTGGCACTGGTACTGGTATTGATAAGAAAATTAATAGGAAAAAACACTGTGGAACCAAAAGGCAGAAATGAGTTTTTCTGTTCTTTTCTCCTTTTCTGTGCAGGGGAGAGACACAGGGACTGTGCAGACAGTGCCCCTCAGAAAGGGAACCTAGAGAAATGCTCCAGCGCCCCTGGGCACCCTGCGATGGCCATTGGCAGTGTCCTCACAGATGTCCCAGCAGCCTCCCAGCAGTGACCATGACCACCTCGAGGAGGAAGAACTGCGGGTCTCCTGCTAGATGCCTCACACCGCTGAGCTGCTGCCCTGGAATGGAGACTGCGGGAGATGCCTCTCCCCTCTAGATGTTTAGAGCAGCGGCAACGCTGTGCCTGTGATTCCCTGTAGATCTCTCACATACATATATGTGCTCTTCAAGCATAGCCCGTGTTTTCTTACCATAAGCAGTGGTACTGGCAGGCGCAGTGGGAGCTCAAGGCATCTGTGTTATCCAAGACAAAATTGAGACACTGGAACAAAGATACTTGTGTGTGTTGGATGGAGCGGAGAAGCTAAGCACTGTAGGAGGAGCTCCTGTGCTCAGAAAGACTGCCTTGGTGGATGTCAGGACAGAGATGGGTCTGAGGTTGATGAAGTATTAGTACTATGCCTCTCCTTGTCTCAGTGGGTATTTAACATAATAAAGAGAGGACGGAGGTGGCAGTCAGGTGCTGGGGGAAGTCAGCGTGGAGCAGGGCAGTGATAAGATCCTAGTGGTCACAGGCTCGCACGGCACCCTTGGGGTGCCTGCGTCTCCCATGTGCTCGCCCTGCATTTCCACCCTTCATGCTGAGTCTGGCTGAGGAAACACGTGTGTGGGAAAGTATATGTTCTGCTTTGGAAAAGAGTTAGTTGAACACTAAGAAAAGCAGGCTTCTTTGTTTATTCTCAGGATCTTTTTGTAACAGGGCTACATTCTGCAAACTGCTCACAAAGGAAGACTATGCGTCTTAACAAATTATTTAGCCACTGAATCCTCCCAACTGGGGCCTGTTTTATTAGTCAGAAGAATCCCTGAGTAGATTTGGGGGCCCTAGATCACTAGGGTACTAATGCTCTGGAGCCTTCTGCTCTCCACCTCCCCTGCCCCTCCCCTGTCCACCCCAGCAAGTAGGTGTCTTTTCTCCTTGGGCCCAATGACCTTCACAGGATGAGTAACTTCATTTATTGAGTGTGGGAGTTACCAGGCCCTTGGGTGGGGGACGGCTTTATATACCTCTTCCTCATAATGCAAATGCAAGTTTTGGTGGTGGGGGTTAAGGCCCATAACAAAGGATCTTAAACCATGCAGTGTACGCAATTTAAATTGTATTCTACAGATATAAATATTTTCTTTTCCTATTGCCGTGACACTATGTGTGATGGTAATATTTCTGAGAGTTTCAGATTTTTGCACATATGATTTTATGCATTATCAAAAGTTACTGCTGCCTTGAATGAAAATGTTCTGTGAAATTTTTTGCAAAAGCTTTACTAGGTTTTTTTTTTAATTGTGAAATTTTGTAAAGGCAGGAAATGATTAAGATGAGCATGCTAAATATATTTTTCAAAAAAGCAATAATTTTACATGTACAGAAATTATCCTAACCTTTAATACTGGTGAGAGCGACAGTTTACTTTAATACAGTAATGGATTAGTGCAGTTTTTGTAGAAAATGGGCTTCTGATACAAAGACTTGTTTAAACACACACAAATATACAAACCCTGAAGTGTGGTTTTCCTGTTCTAATGAGTTGTTGGATTATTATTATATTATTATTATTATAATTATTATTTTATTGTTATTGTTAGTTAATGTTTGGTTCTGAATTCTACTTGTTGCTGAGTTTAAATTACTTGACTGTTCAGGTGGCTGCGACACTTGCAAACAATGCAATGTAACTGGCTCGCTTATATTATATCTATATATATATATTATTTTTTTTACTTATTTTTCCTGATATTCTTACACCAGATATGTATGAGAATGATCTGTTGTGTTAGCGTGCTTGGGAATTTGTCTGCGCAGATATTGTCACATAACTGTCATGGATTGTTCTGGGAGGTTATCTGAGCAAAGTTATAGAGACACATTCCTCTGTCCACCCAAGAAACCAGAATGCCCTTCTGTTGATTTATGTCTGATCATTTTGATATTTCCCCCAAGGTGATCATTTCTGCATTTTCTGGCTTTTGTTTCCCTGGCTGAAAGTAAACGGTGACAGTTAGGAATGTGCAGGGACTAGTGATTCAGTCCCGTCTTGTTTCTTTGTGTTTTAGTTATTAAAAGAAATTCTGTACCCAAAGTGACACAGAGGTGTCGTCTACATTTTTACTGTTTCAGAAGTCGCACGGAAAAGTGCAATTGGCATTTAGAGCTGGAAGTGGTTTTTCTTCCCGCAAATCTCCTTCCCAGTAGGTGTGGTGGAGAGAGAGGTGCGGCTGGGCTGCAGCCTCCAGCGAGTGTCCCTCGGCTTCCAGGAGAGCCTCCGAGGACAGCCGGGTTGCTTGGGATGAGTCGCACAGCCACGAGGGGCCTGAGGGTGCTATGTTGAGCCCAGCTGCGGGGACTGGATGAGTTGGCCCCTTTCTTCCACTGAGCATCAGTATTGTATTGCTTTGTTAATTTGTTTGTGTCAGTTCAACCATAGTATTTAATATGATTTGTGTTTTCTTATTTATTTAGCCATTATATTTTGATTTGCTTTTTTTTTTTTTTCAAAATGACAATTTCTGCATGATACACTTCTGTAAGTCGCCTTCTGACTGTTACAGACTTTCTACTACCTCTACCAACCTGCTGTCTCCTTGTTTCTTAACAGGATTTTTACAGTGTTGCGTCTAATGTAACTTAGACAATAAAGGGTTTGGTTATCTACACCGCAGTGCTCCTTGTGTCTCCCCTGCCCTTTGCCTTGCACTCTCCTGCATCCCAGCGTGGCTCCTGCCTGGCCCAGCTTGGCCCCTTGCCTCCTCCTGTCACCCTGTCTTCCTCTCCACTTGCATCTCTTCTCATTTTGAATTTAAATACCACACAAATAATGAGCTTCTTAAAATCTTTCAGGTTATTTATTGTAGTCCTTAATTTGAAGAATGAACACTTACATTCACCCCAAAAGCAGATGCTCCTTGTCTTCCTGGGAAATCACTGTACCTGTCCACATTTTTGCCTGGCTCCTGGAAGTCTCATTGTAGTCTTAGAACAACACGTTGCATCTGTGTTGGTACAATGCAAGTTTCAAGCCATGTGGATTTTGCCTCGTTGGTTCTGAAAGTATCAAATGTTCTAAGAGTTCCCCTAATATTTATTTATTTCCTAAAGCGAGAAAGATACCAGCTTTCTGAAAAGAAGGAAATCCCACTGGGAGCTACATGCAGTCACTCTGGAGGTTACAGGAACATGGATCTGTGATAGGCTGTGAGGACACATCATGTGACTTAGCTGCTGTGCCACTTGGCTAGGAACTGCCCCAGCATCTCCGTAAGGCGCCAGCACATGTAGGTCTAACAGTACTTCTCTGCCTGAGGATGCAGAGTGGGGAGTCATGGGGGCGAATTCTACCTCCCTGGGTGGTGGTTCTGGTTGCTTCACATTCTTTCAACCAGCAGAGCCAGTGTAGTTTCTGGGGTGGTGCAGGTGCCTTGCGCATCACAGAAAGTGGCCCGCCCAGGCCTCATGTTGCATGGAAGACAGCACCTCCTGGACTCCCGTGGCCAGATGTTCTCCTGGTATTCCTTCTTCAGAATGAGACCACCTCTCCCCCTAATGCATCCGAAGGTTCCAACCATTTGTTGACAGAAGAAGAAAGTTCTGTGTTTATAAACTTGACTCACCACTTTCACAATATCTGAAGTAACAATTGCTTTACTGCCTTTAACTTTGGTGACTTCTAGTTACAGAACATTTTATTCACTGAGCAAACAACAGCAACAGAGATCACAAGTGACAACTTCCAGCAGTGACCAGGCCCTTGTTTGCCTTAGTTCCTGCAAACACTGGAGCCCTGGGACACACCTGGGTGGAGTGACCCCTGGTCTCCCTGCAAGGGAGTGCCCATTACTTATCAACTTTGCTAATATATACTTTGAGACCGTAAAATGCAAAGACCATAGAATTTGTATTTCTTTTATAAAAATACGATTTATAACATATTTTGTACTCTTTATATTAGAATTTGTAATAGATTGATGTATTTAACTCTATTTCTGAAAAGTTATTGTTTCAGTTGTGTGATAAAATATTTAGATAAAACATTCATTCTATTGGAATTTGAAATAAATAAAAACATCTTGGAGTTCTTGAGATTTGTAAGACATTTTTCCCCTATTTCAAAGGTAGCTTGATTCGTTTGACACCTTGTCTTGATCTGTGGTCGCTTTAATTTTTTTTGGCTGAACATAAACCAAAGTGCTAATGTTCTTTATTATGTAGACATAAAAATTTTAGGATGATTCACAAGATAATTCATCTAAGAAGATGCCAAATGGCGGGGGTGCTTTTGCAGCTCTTTCTGAACTGCGGCCTGCCACACTTTTTTGTTCTGTCATGGCAGATGTTTTTCTCATTTCTTCGTCCCAGCGCGTCGCATTCCTCAGGTGTGCACAGTGCCGTAAACACACAATGTGCCTCCCACTCCGGAGTGCTGCAGAGTGAGCTGTGAGTGCACTCCTGAACGATGCACACCTGGGAGGAATAGTACACCAACAGTTTGGAGATTGGTGGGAGCTAGTGCTAGATCATGAGAACTAAAAGTGGAGCCATCAGATGGGTAACTATTTTAATTTTAAAAGATAGGTTGTGTTTCCAGTTAGAAAATGTATTCGTGTTTCTCAGCAGAGCAAAGGGAGGACGAGAAACACCTGAATGTGTGCCAGAAGAGAAGATGGAGAGTGACCAGGGAACCCTGGGTTTACCCTTGCTGTAATCTGGGATGAACTGCTGCTTTGAGGGGTTTTCTGAACGACCGACCTCTGGGTTATGCAGACTGCAGTACAGACCTCATCTAACATAGGGGAAGCTTGGAACTCTGGGTATTCAGGCCTTTTTCCTCTTGAGTCTCAGGAGAACAGGGAGATGCTAAACGAGGGAAAGTACACATTAAATCTTTCTAAAAAGGCAGCTGACCCTTAGGTAACACACTTGAGATTCAGAAGACACTTTGCCCTTATTTCAGAGGCAGCTTGACTCATTTGACAGCGTGTGATTGGGACAGAAGTGGCCTGGCTCAGACCTCTGCGCATCCCCTGTAGCCTGGAGTTCCCCACAGCACGTGGGCCAGCTCATGTGCCAGTGCCCAGTGCATACCCCAGTCGGGTGCTCCTCCCTCCAAGAGAGTAGCTGTTCATTCTCAGTTGGCCACCCGTTCACCCCATGGTGAGGACATGATGTGCTGCCCTGTGTGGCCAGGAGCTGCTCCTGTGGGAACCAGCCCAGACGCAGATTGAACCGTCCCTGGCTCTATAATTCGGATACAAGACCTGGGTGTGTGGTCTGTGTCTCTCACAGCTGCACACACATACAGTAACTAATATGTTGTAATGAGTTGATGTGCAGTCAACAGAGGTGCAGTCCTAATGTGTGTTACTAATGTTCCTCCATTACCTCTTTGAAAAAAAAATAGGTGCATAGAAGGGACTAGCAAAATTATGAGAAGACCTGTGAAAGGCTCTGCTTGTGTGGCAGATTCTGGGATGGTCTGGCTTCCTCACTCCTGCCTGTTGACATGTGGGGCTAGAAAGTGGCAGTGGGGAAGAGAAGCCAGTGGGCCTCCGGAGGTGTGACACGCTCCCCTCTGACTTCTGCTAAGGTAAAAGGAAATGTATGCTAATTGAAAGTTATAATGAGAGCGTAGTCTCAGTTCTTCCTGCGATAACAGAACACTGTTGATTTTAAGCAATATTGCTCTCAGTTCTGGACATGGCGGAATCCAAGACAAAGTTGGGTTTGGTGCCTGGTGACTTTTCTGCTTCACACGGGGTACAGTATTGTGTCCACGTGTGGTGAGAGGCAGAACAAGCTCTCTGGGCCTCTTTCCTGAGAATCGTTCTGGAGGTTCCATCCTGGCAACCTGATGACCACCCCAAGTCTCTGCCTCTTTATAACAACACACTGGCATAGGTTTCAACATGAGTCCAAGTGTGTCTGTCTCCAGGTTTGGCCACGGACTAGTATTCGTGTCCCAGGTGGTGTCCCTCTCCCAGACGCTTCGCTGCTGTGTCAGGCAGTGCTGTGTTTCCTTCTGATCCTGCACATCTAAGGATGCCCTTGATGAGCTAGCATTTTCAGAACAGGGTTACTAACGTGAAGGCTACATTTAAGAAAGAAGTCTGGTGAAACATCGGGATCCCTGATCTACTTGGCAGACCTGCCCACACAAGGTGATGGCAGTGCTTTACCCTCGGAAGTCACAAGGCCGGTGACCCTGCTCCCTGACAGTGTTATAACTTTCACTCTGAATCATGTGAGTTTTGCTTTATCAGAGGATTTTACGGTTCTTTAAAAGTATTGAAGTTGTACAGAAAGTTTGTGATTTTTATAAATGTGCTTAGTAGATTCCGTGCTCTGGGAAGGTCCTGACATAAGAACAAATCCTGCCTTTTGGGCCCACAGAGAAGAAAGGACAAGGACATAGCAATGTTGAGCTCCAAGCCAGAGGTGCAGATCCATGGTAGGCATATAAATGGGAGATGAGTGGTGTCTCCTTGAGAGAAGATGTACCTGAGTGTTACCAGGACCAGGTGACATTCACCTGAAACTTGGAAGGTTCGATCAAACATTTGGGGCAGTTACCTAGAACTGAAGAAAACTTTGCCTGTGATGTCCAACCTGGGCTTACTGGGTAATCTCTAAGGAGGTCTCTATCCATGAGGGAAAAGAACGCATGAGTTTCTGGGAGGAAGAGTACTTTAGGAAGTAGCCCGTGGTGTGCTGCAGAATGTGAGTAGTCAACTCTGAGAGGGGAGGGGCTGTTGATTATTTCTTGATAATATTAACTCCAAGCCAGTCTTCAGGGAACAAGAACCACCACATGCCCGTCAGCTGGCAGCATGCCTACTGAGAGGCAGACGCTGGCCCTGGGTAAAGGTGGCATGTCTCTGAGCTAATGCCTGTGTCTTAGTCAAGACATAACTTAAGCAGAGAAAGGCCCGAAGTAGGCAATGGAGTGGTTCAGGGGAGAGGCGAACCTGAGCCACGCCTGTGGGAGATGGCTTGGGCAGGAGGGTCGTGGGTCTGATGGACACTTGTGCATATCAGTTTTCTCAGTCTAGAGATGGCTGACACAACTCAAGTCTTGAGAGATGGAGAGAAACTGAGAAAAATAAGCTGACACTTAAAAGGCCATGTACAGAGCTCATGCTGTCTCCACACCCTCCAAGCTAGGCCTGTGGAACTCCAGGCCAAAAGTGGAAGTCAGGTCAGAGCAGTGTGACTTACCCAAAGGACATAGCCAGAAGCCCATGGAGACTTCTCTAGTCCAGGCGTGGGGCTTGCACACCAGGCCCACTTTGCACTCCCTTGTCCATTATGCCACTGAACACAGAGCCCCTGGTTGAGAATGGCAAAGGGGTGGCGCTGTCCAAGGCACCTGCTATCCTGTAGACCGTCTTCACAGCCCCTGTGTTAGGTGGGAAGGGTGGAGGTGCAGCCAGCCTGCTGGGGAGTTGGGCCTTGACCGTCCTGGATCAGCACCTGGCGCGTTGGCTTTCACTGCTCTCCTCTCAAGCCCCAAATCTACGCTCAGCTGGATTTGGGAAAACTAAGAAGTGGTGTACACAGGTGGGAAGGTGGGGATATCTGCAGACTCGATCCGGAGCCCCAGGGCTTTCCCGCACACCCGGTAGGTCTTTCTTCCAGTTTCTCCTCTGAGTGTTCTTGCTTACTCATGAAAACACACGATGCTCTGCCGCTAGATCTCCACCATCTGCAAACCTTCTTCAGTTTCCGCCATCTTCTACAGCAGCAAGCCCTCGCTCCCTGGATTGACCGTGGTCACTTTTTTCTTCTTTGAGTTGGCTTTTCACACTACTCCCTGCTTCACTGTCCCTTGTTAAACTTACCAAGGCCCTCATAATATAATGATTACTTTTCCTATTGCATCTCATGGTAGCTTTGTCAATGGGATGTTATATATGTCAACATATTTTTCATTCAGATTTGATAATTACAACATTTTTCCTAGTGTACTTTTGAAAAAAAAATTATTATTTTATTATTTACTTGTCACAGATCCTTGCTATGCAGCTTAGACGCATAGTGATCCTCCTGGCTCAGCCTCCCCAGTGCTGGGATTACAGACGTGCACCATCATGCCAGGTTTCAGTGGCCTGTGTGGTACGCCTAGGGTTGCAGGGCCAGCAAGGCATTTGGTGCTCAGGTCCTTGCGCTTGCCAGGCAGGTACTTAGCCAGGCAGGTACTTAGATGGCTGAGCTATTTCCCCAGCCCTGCCCAGCATAGTTTTTAGACTTTATTGCTTGCTCTGGTGTCCCATTTCAGGTGGTCCCCTGACATCATGACATTTCGATTAGATGGACACATTGCGCATGACTCTGGCAACATGACATCTCCTTCACTGCTGCTTTGGCCTCTGCTTCCCTTGGGGATGAGCATTCATCTTTCCACCTGTCCCTATGTCATCCCCTGAGGGATCTTTATGAAGTTCATGCTAGATCATTCCTTGCCATCATTGAAATCATTTAGTAATTATTTTCAGAAAAATCCCAACTGTCTGCTACAGTGTGGAAATCCTTCCTTGATCTGACCTTTACAGCCACCCAAGGACACACGATACGCAGTGTGCATTTCCCCCAACTACCTGCTCCTGTTTATGTACCATCTGCACTTACCCTCCCACAGTTCAGCCTGGGAGGTGCTGGCGGACCTGTGCCAGCCGCCCCTCATCCCTGCATCTCTGTCTCGTGTCTCACCTCCACGCTCCCCTGCACACTGGTGTCCAATCTGTGCATGTGAGGCTTCCAGAGCATCTGAAGCTGAAGAGCAAAGCCTGTCTGCTGCCTCCCGGGGGGGCGAGCTGTGGCTTGCCCCAAGGCAGATTGCTGCATCTCATTTCCCAGCGCTGCCCAGCCAGCTCGATGGTGAAGCCGCGGGCGTGTTTCCTCTGGAGCGCAGGATGCTTTGGTTTCCACTTACCCAGTGAGGATGACCATGTCTGTCCCCTGGCAAGTGATATGATGGGCTGCATTTTGCAAACTTTAATGTCATACACAAATACAATTTGGAATCACTCGTGAGAAACTGACTTGAGTTACAATGTCCAAGTCCTATAAA